TGACATATTCCTATAGGAAGTGACAGGAAGTATGAAGGGTGAGGGGGTATGGTGAACTTTTTCAGCCATTACTCCATCATTCCATCTCCTCATCACTTCCTTTGTTATGTTTCTGTTCTAAAAAAGATCTAATATAAGTACTGTGACCTTTAGGAAAATGGCTCCAGTAAAGAAAGAACATGGTTTAAACAGTATCTGAGAAAGACAAAGTAGTTTGCAGACGGTTTCCTCCGCTGTATCCCTGCCACTCTTTCATCTAGAAAGCATTTTCTTTACTAAAAATAAAGAGGGGCTGGGGAGCAGGACTCTAACCACAACTGTCCCAATGAAAGGAATGCTGGAGGAACATCAGGAGGGTTATGTTGCTCTTCCTCTCATCCCTGCATCCTCCCCCACTTCCGCTCTATCTATCTGTACTTGACTGTACATCCTCTTCTTGTAAAGAGGAGCAGGCAGTTCACGGCTCAGTCTCATGTAAAATGTATTTGGACATGTTCAGTGGATAAGGATAAGACAGGATCAGGAATCGTGATACACAGAGAGGAAGCAGGGATTGTAATTACTGTGATACACAGCTGTACACTGCCAACATACACCATCTGTAGGATGGCTTACCAGTCAACCATTTTCCCAGTCAGTACAATGAACTGGGCAGCATTAGAGTAGAGCAGTGCATTTGGGTTAAATGAAATTAATGAAATGAAAAAGTCTATGGCTGAACAATTTTATGTTAAAATTGTCATTTGAAAAACTGAATTTTCAAATCGCAACAATGGCGAGTTTACTCAGAACTTACATAATCACAATGTACAAGCTGGAGATGAAATCAATTTTTATATTTCCTCACTGAATGTTAATTCTGTAACTTGGCAAACACTACTGGTCACTGTCAGATGTATATGCTATCTGTATGCCAGTGTCTGTACATTTTAGTTTGGTAAAAAAAAAAAAAAAGGTTTTGTGAAAGTCTGTATCATTATCATTATTATTAGTATTATTTATTTATTTTTTTTTGTGGAAAAATTGGGCTTTATCTTTTTTGGTAGTATTGTACGATGCAACAGCTTCCACCCCTCTGACTGGCTTTACACACACATTACAAGTTGCTGTCTTGCTTTTCTGTGTTTTGAGACTAAAATATCTCCAAACTAAGGACATGTTGAGTTAGCCAACTGGTATTATTATTATGGCAGGTTCATGGACTGCACATCTAAATTAATTTATTGAATTGTGTTTAAACCTTTTGGCTATGGGCTATTGCATTATAAAATATCTATATTTCATAAAACCATCAGACTATAGAATCTGGATTGGAACATGAATTGGTCTGATGTCTGATATGCAAATTAGGTCAGTATCAGCACCCAATACCAATATTGGACATCCCAATTTAAATTTTTTGCTACTATGTAGACCACATAAAGGTAGGTAGTTTAACATATAGAAAATAAAATTCCTTAGAGCCTTAGACACCATGAACAATGTTGAAGAAATTAACATTTCAATACTTTTATTTGGAGTATGTTCTGTCCAAAACACACCCAGTGACACTGATGGCTTTTAATCGCACAAAAAAATCACCATATACACTGAGTCAGTCCAAATGACCATCACTCTCAGTCTGACAATCAGCCATACAGTCATTCAGTGAACCAGCCTGTGTGATTTCATATCAGTCTGCTCTGAGCTGAGCAAACAGTGATGGAGTTTTTTCCCTGACCAGCGGAAATGCCTCTTCTTGCCTAATTAGACAGACAGGCCAGTCCACTCGTCACGGGCTGCATTTCACTAATTTTAATCCTTCCTCCTCCCACTGTTCCTCTACAACTCCCCCCTATCTCTCTGTCTTTCCCCAACCTTCCCTACATCTCTTTGCCCCCGGGCCTCCCTCTCTCCCCCAATTCCCTATAGACTAAATTTTCCACTTGGGATCAAAGATAAGGAGGAACTGTTCTCTGAGAGAAGAACATGCTGAAAAAACTGTTTACGGCCTTCTGTTTGTGTGTGTGTGTGTGTGTGTGTGTGTGTGTGTGTGTGAGAGAGTCTCTGTGTTTTTAATAGAATAGTAATGGGTCAGCTGGAGGCTGTTGACCTTGTGGGCAAAGAGTAGGGAACAGAATGACAGGAGACAAACAAAAGAAAAAAAGAACTGTACATAGACTACCTATAACCACCAATCACACTCCCTGGGAGGGAAGTTGAAGAATTAAGCGGGGGTTTTTCCAGAGAACTGGGGCTGACGCACTGATAGGATCCTGGACAACGTGGTAATGAGATGTTTTGTCACCGGGCTTACGGCAACCCCAGCCGGGTGGAGATGTAAATAGAAACCTGGTGAGAGCAGGATCGCTTACAGATGACTCACAGAGCTCCAGATGTGTGAGTGCACATAAACACACATGCACACAGTATACACGCCCGTGGAGAAGGATGGGGGTGCTTTGTTCATACACAAGGTAATAACTGTCAAATGTGAACGAAGTGCAAGTCAGGAAACACCTTGAACTCATGACACTCACACAGGTAAGAACAGCACACACCAGGAAGGCTAAAGCTAATCAGCTAGGCAGGCTGCAGCTCATCTGTTAGTAATGTCTCTATCGTCACTAAATGAGTGTGCATTTAGAATTCACAGTATTACAGATTAATGACATCCCGTCTTTATCCTGCCTCAGATTTCCCCCTACACACAAGGTTAGATAACTGCTAAGATGGACACACAAGCAGATCCCCACGCCCTGCCTTATCCGACCTCTCCCTTCCTGAAGCAGTGGCGATGGATATCGCTGTCTAACAACCACACATCAGACTATCACAGACAAGGCATGCTATCAAACAACATCCTGCTCCTTTCTGTAATCAATCTTAATAATGAGTTCAGTTTATCCATCACTTCTGAAGGACAATAATAAATCAGCTTTTTTTTTGCTGTTTTGCAATCTGCTCACTTGCAACTCTGCTTTCCAAAAGGAGATAACAATTTGAAAAATGAGATGTTCTGATAACAGGATTATGGCCTTTTAGTGTTTCAACAGTTCTTGCACATTAGGAAATGCAAATATCTTCACTTGACGTTTTGTCTCTTAAAAAATTGTTTGACATTTTTGGAAATATGCTTATACTCTTTTCTGCCAAGAGTTAGAAAAGAAGATTTCTTTTTCACTAACACTATAAAGCTACAGCCAGCAGCCAGTTAGCTCACAGTAGCACCTCTAGAGCATACTGTCACTTCTTTGTTTAGTTCATATATTAAACGAAGTGTAAAAACTACATGATTTTACCTTTGGACAGAGCCAAGCCAGCTGTCTTCCTCTGCTTCCATTCTTTACACTGAGGTTAAGTTAACCGGCTGTAGCTTTATATTTACCACAGAGACATTACTCTCAGCAACAAAAAGAATAAGCATATTCTCCATAATGAAGCGTACAGAAGACAGTATGTCCTACACTTGAAGCATTTTAAAGTTACAAAAAAACAAGAATATCTATCATCCCTTATATCAAACATATTGCACAAAGAATAACGTAACAAAATGAAGCAAAACAACTTACAAACTCCACGAAAGGACCAAAGACATCCCATTTCTAGGGAGACAATACTCCCAAACCAGGACCCTTTTAAGTCAAGCATGTTTATGTGTGTACACATGTTTGAAAACCAGGACAATATATTGTTTTACAAAAATGTGTCAGCCTGAAACTGGAACAACCCTGGACACAGCGGGGCGTCTGCTCACCTTACCCGTATCACAAGGTGTACTGAAAAGCCTTTTTTTATTTTATTGCATGTGTTGTTTCAAAGCCATCCTTTCATCCCTGAACTCATCCTCAGGGCTCTCCTCTGATAAAAGACAAGAGGATGGAGCCATGCTAGAGGAATGAGTCTCATCTTTGCCACATGCCTTTGCCCTTGGCGTTCTCTCTTTCGCCTGCTGCCTGCCAAGGCTCCCTGCCTCAGCCCCGACCCCCTCTTCGTCACTTCGGCCACGGCTGGCATTCTCCCCCTCTGCATCCCTCTGTCTATTCATTATACCATCCCTCCATCAATGACCCTTTCACAGAGGCAGCAGTGTGGGGTTTGAGCAAGGCTTACAGCTCTCTCTGAGGAATGCAACTGAGCGGCCTTCATATTAGCAAAGACTTTGAGACTTCTGGCCTCATAGAGCCACTGTCATGTGTCTTCTCACACCTCACTGGCATAACAGTCTACTAAATAAGTCAGATAAGCAAGTCCAGTGCAGTTACAAGAAGAAGAATGGCTAATTCCAATGGCCTGTCCATCATAAACTTGAATTAGTGGTGTCATGGCAGTGGCTGGTGATGACTGCACATTTAACCTGCTCTATTTCATTTGGTGGAGACGGTAGCCAGGTTTCCTCATGCATTTTAACCTAATTTCCAGGAAATCTGCAAAAGAAGAATTACTGAGTGTTTCGATCCATTATTCTTATGCACCAAACTAAACAGTTGGTGGCGCTAAATCTTCAGTTCGGTGCCATTAAACCATTGCAGCAGAAGATCATAATAAAAAGAGCGGAAGGTGGAAAACCATGCAGAAAAAATGATGGAAATATGGCATTTATGTTTGTTTCATGTATCAATTTGTGGAACATTAAAGTCTCATCATCGCTCCACACAGATTTGATGTCACATGCTTCATGTACGCCATGATTTGTTCACTAGGTCTGTTTCCATTGCACTTTGTTTGTATCAGTAGATCAACTACTCCCTATTTTGCAATATTTCCACTTTTTTTCTTTTGAATTTCTGCCATTTCCTGTCCCTTTTTGATGTGCGAATGCTGTGCATGCGGCTAAACACAAAATACACCTTTATGGTGGATGGAAAGGTACACAGAAATCAGCTACACAGTGGGTGATAATACCATGTCCTCTGTCCTGGCTGATCACAGCACTTTCAGTACTGTCCGTGACTGTATCACAACTGATTCCTCTTTTTATTTTGAGGCCATGCTCAGGCATGTGTGAGCTGGATCCTTACCTTGGCCTCGCACTTCCTGTGGGCGGCTGTCTTGCATACTAAGAAAAATGAGAGTAGGGAAGGAGGGAGGAAAGAAAAACAAGACGACAAAATGAATAATAGTTTTCTTACTGTTGTGATCACAAATATTGCTCTGGAGCTCAGTTCTGAGGCTGAGCTTCTGTCTAATAAATATAGCAACTTCTGATAAACCAATATCAATTTCATGTTAAATTAAAAACTTCCAGTAAGTTATACCCACATCTGGTTTAATCCCGCCCATTCAAAGTACAGATATGAATACAGATAATTTAGTTAGATGAACGGATACAGATAATGGTGTACTCGCTCATCCCTAGAGATCAACATGCTTTGCACTTATAATCTCCATTTAAAAGAGTAAAACTCTTGATATCATCCTGCTATATCACTGTACAACTGTACAATTGCACATGATCTTACATCGTCAACGCATCAGCATATAGAACTGTCCTACTTTGCCTGACCACGCTTAAGAAAAGCAGTTATTTTGTCACATTCCCTCGTCCGGTGTGTGCAGGGGTCAAATCACACCACGCTACGTGACAAGGCTTGATTCTCTCATATGTGACACATCCTAAAATCCTGCTGCTGTTCTAGTTTACCATGTTGGTCTTGGTCGTTCAGAGTAGGACACATAGTGGTGAGTGAGAAAACTGTAATGACAACACAGGATCGTGTTTGCAACATTTACCTCTGCAGAAGGAGCCGACGTTGTCGACGTTCTGACGACACACGCTGCACTGCCGCTTCTTCTTGAAGGTCTTTTCCTTGAAGACGTGGGGCTCTCCCTTCCCCCCCTGCGTGCGCGCACACACACACACACACACACACACACACACACACACACAACACACACACAGAGAAAAATGAGATTCACACTCAGACGAACCCTGATAGAAGTGGCAGTGCAATCTGTGGAGCTGCCTACTCTCAGAAACAATGCAGGGATCCTTGTTTGACCTTCATCCCTGTGTTTGATTTGGCAGATGTTAATGTTGTCTGTTGTCCCTCTGCACACTTCCATATGACAGGATGAAAACAAAAAGTGCAAAGAAGCTGGACTTTCCCGAACTCCTTTCACAAAGAGAAGGAAAAAAAGGCTCATGAATTAGTGGACTGTAACAATGACAGGAGCTGTCAGCTTTAACCTGAATGTGTGAGAGACCAGGAGGCATAGTTGTGTGTATGAGTGTGTGAATGTATGGTTACATCCGCACTCCACTCCTTTTCCCTCTTGAACTTCTGTTCTGGTTGTGTAACTGTCTTCCAGTAATAATCCTTGTGGTTCCTGCAAAAACCCCACTATAATCCCTATAAGTGTGTGTGTGTGTGTGTGTGTGTGTGTGTGTGTGTGTGTGTGTGTGTGTGTGTGTGTGTGTGTGTTTGAATGGGAGAGTGAAGGTTTGAGAAAGAGCTAAAGTTTTTTTGGTCTAATTCCTAAAGAGAGAGCGAGGGAAGGGAAAAGTAAAAGAAATCTACCACTTTTCTTTCTCATGTCACTGTGTGTGTGTGTGTGTGTGTGTGTGTGTGTGTGTGTGTGTGTGTTGTGTATGTGTGTGTGGCAGCCATCCCCGCCCAGTGCCTCTTTGTTTCCCAACATGGGATCAGATCCCCAGATGACTGGGGCCTGACGTGACTCTGTGGAGGCTTTGAACATGAGAACGCTAACAACCGCGGGCTAAGTATGGGGATTGCTAAGCATGTTTTCATGCATGGAAACATAATGGGGGGAGAAAAATATGTTGCACAGTATGTAAGACAGTATGTGCCATGTCATGCATATTCTGGAAACCGGCAAAAAGCGAAGGATCTGGGTTCACTCATCTCAGAGCAAATATGAGTGCAAACACACACACACACACACACACACACACACACACACACACACACACACACACACACACATCAACATCATCACCATGAGAAAAGAGATATATGTAAGAAAGCGATCCTTGCTACTAAGGCTGCTCAGTGTTTCCATAGTTTTGGATAATTAAACTGATACATACACATAAAGGCTTTTTTGTTTCCTCTGTGTGTGCTTTTCCTCCTTGGTAACAAAGAAAGGGAGCTGTTTGCACACTTTTTCCATTATCCTGCTGCTCTGACTCTGCTCTAGGGACTGGACAGTGTTTGGACAGCTGCCTGCCTGGCATCACCCTCTGCCAGCAGTGTTCAGCGGCTGCTGGCCTGCTCCAGTACAAGTGTACTATGACCGCAGCACCCTGGATGGTGGCGGTGGATGGGTGGCTCAGGCGCTGGTTGCGGGCTGACGTCTGTTACGTAACACGGTGTGGTCAGGGGATTGACGTTCCACTCTAAAACTGCGTAGTCATTACTTTTGGAAGTTGTATATTTCTCCTGTTGGGATTTTTATTCATTTCTATTTGACTCAGTATGACTTGGCCTGTTCTGGTTTATACTTTTCTCACAGCTGCAAACCAAAGTCCACACAGACTTCATTAAAGTTCCATGTTATCTTATCTTATCTTGATCCTGTTTTCATGAACCCCTGATTTGGCTCTCTGTCCCTACTCCAAGCCCACCCTTTCCTGAACCCTAAACATAACAAATGCTCCTTCACCTCATGACCAGTTCAACTACCTTGACATGTATCCTCCTAACCAGGCATGTTAGTCAGAAAAGAACACCAAACAGACTCTTACAGACTTCTTCTTGTGTGTGGACTCTGTTGTGGACTGGTCTATAGCATGCTCTCATTCTAATCTATGAACTTGTGCAATAATCTTGTAAAGTTTCTGTGTGTGTGTATGAGAAAACAAACGGGGCCCACGGTGAGTTTAAAAAAAGCAACCAGTTACTGCCAGCTAAACTGCAGCGGTGATGTGGGCTGAGAGATAAACACATAGAGGAGAGGTTGGCAGCATTCTTCCTGTTTCAGACACAATCAAGACCACTATATAGTCCAACCACAGGCAATCAGGGTCAGACAGTGACACACGGCTGCTACTGAATGAATGCTGCATATGGATCGACTCCACATAAGCTGCTACGGTCTGGTTCATGTGAAGGGATTGGATGCTACAGTCAGTGGTCACTAATGTAGATGAACCCACTTTATATTTCATGCAGCTGAAAACAGCAGTGTGCTCCAGCGCCTTGGCCTAGAGGTTAAGATGCTGACCATGAACTGCAACGCCCCCGGTTTGCATCCGGTTGGGGATCTTTGTACGTCTTCCCCCTCTTTCTTTCTCCAGTAATTTCCTGTCACCTCTCTACTTGTCTATGCAATAAAGGCCTACAATGATGAAAAAAAACATTTCTGTGTCACATGCATTGGGTTTTGTTACGCGAGTGGTTGGACTGACCACTGATTTTACTGATCTCTGAAACCACCATTAAAAACAGTAATGATCTCAGTAATGGTTCAAAGTTAATTCGTTACCTTGGAAACAACCAAATCTCACCTCAAGGTCCATTTAGTGGAACAAACCTTTGAGCCAAAACAGATGAGAAGTGCTCAGAAAAATTTCATTTTGTATACAATACAGTGACAACTGGACAAACTCCATCAGCTGATTATGTGATATGGTCAAACAGCTACCAGATGGCCTTGGAGAGTCGGCTGTCATTATTTAATCTGCATGGTTGACCTTTGATAAGACCCGGCAGATTAAATATTATAGCTCTGGCTCACGATATTCTTTTCAAACCAGAGCTGTTTTGCCATGTTTGCAGTTTCAAACATTGATACCCACAAAGAAAAAGTAAGTAGTGGATACATTTTTTGACTTTGACTTTTTGAATGGCTGAATCAAATGAACACAGGCTACGACACGGGGGGAATGTTAGTTCAAGTTCAGAAGTGTCAGCATGGTTAAAAAAAAAAAGAAAGAGCAAAAGAAAGATAAAGGACTAAAAAACAACGCCTATTCTTTTGATAAGTAAAACAGTAGCCAGGGATGGAGTGTGCAGCTAGCTGATCAGATACATAAATGGCCCATATGTTATAATACAGGTGCCAGCCATGTGTGCATGAATATTCTTTGCTTGAATCATGTTGTGTTAGCCAGCTCAGCTAGCTACTTTTCCTTACAAAACCATCACAAAACAAAAGCCTCTTATGAGCCAAACTATTACGTTGCCAACTGTTTGCCAGCTGAAGTGACGGCACAAGCAGTAAGCTCAGTGTTCTTTCCAATCCTTTCATTTCAACTATTGTGCTGTCAAAAAGAGCAATAACAAATGGAAACCTGCACATTTCAGCTTTACCTGTGGAAGAAGCTAGAGCTGCAGCAATTAGGCGAGCAATTGATTCATTGTCAACTATTTAATTAATCACTATATATTTTGACAATCCACTGATTGTTTTGAGACATTTTCTTAAGAAAAAATGTCCTAATTCTCTGATTTCACCTTCTTAAATGTGAATATTTTCTGGTTTCTTTAGTCTTCTATGACAGCAAACTCAATGAGAAACAGTGATCAACTATTTTAACCATTTTCTGACATTTTATGGACTAAACCACTGATCGATTAATGGAGAAAATGATCCGACAGATAATAAAAAAATAATCGTTTGCTAGAAGAAACTGTAACCCTTTGTCAAAAAATAGGTCCATTTAAACATTACCATCAGCTACATCAAGTATTCAACATATGCAATAATGGTAAGAAAAAACTAAAAGTCTCCTAGAGAACAACTCTTAGAGAGTCCAGAGCACTGGTCCGGTATCACGTGGGAAACTTCCACAAGTACTAACGTATGATCTGCTTAATTAAGAAAAGCATACTGTGCAAACTGGGTTAACTACCAAATCTATCTCTGCTCAACTTGGGAGTCCTGAAAAGGAAACCGCAGTGAAGGAGGTTTACAACTTCGAGGAGGATTACAACAGAGGAAGCAGAAAACAGCTGGTGGAGTCTAGAGTGTATGAGCACTAAAAACAACCTGTGATGCTGAGCCCGGTCCCCAGGATAGTAATTACTGTCACCGCTGTGATGGATAAAAAACATCTTCCTCTGGTAAAAACATTCAGTATTCAGTATTCAGCACTTTGAGATAATAAAGAAGCTGTTACTGGTTAGATCATTTCTGCTGCCTGAGAGGAACAAACTAAAAAACAGAATGAAACAATATGTCCATTAAGCAGGAAATGAACACATCATTGTATTTACTCAGACTGTAGGTGCACATTTCCTCAAACACACAGGTTAACCAAAGTGCATCTGCCATCACAAACAGTGATGGACAAACCATCACAAGCCTACAGTACACATGTGACCATTTGGGCCACACAGCATCAACCAGCTGGGACCTGCCTACAAGTTGTAAAAAGCTACCTGAGACCTCCAAACACACAAACACTCACTCACGTGCAGACGTGTATCCCTGCAGACAGTCAGTGGAAACAAACAGACAGCCTTCCTCTTTCCTCTTCCAGTCCCCGTGCCCCCCCCCCCACCGTGTGCCAGCCAGGACAGACCCCACCTCTCCTACAACATCTGCTACGCACAAGAAAGTCCTTTTTCTAATATTTTTAGCCTTCTGGCAGAAAAAGGAACCAGAGGTTTCTGGAGTCAAAGAGATGCTTTCTAACCAGGAACCCCTCCCCTTCCTCGCTGCGCGTCTGCCAGCCGTCGCAGAACAGTAGCTGGATTGAACGAGGGAGGGGTTGGACGCATATACAAGAGATGCACACACAGGCAGAGATTTACAAATGTAAAAACAAATACACAGAAACAGAGAGCCATTCGTGCACACACACACACACACATCCCTGGAAACTCTCTTGCTCCGTCCCCCTTGTTTCTTTCTAAAAATAGTCTTGATATT